TGGTACAACTAAAAAATACATATAAAAAACAATAAATCAGCTTACGCGAGAGAACTATTACAAACTACACAAACTAACAACAATAGACTACGGAGGAGAAAGTTCGAAGATATAAACAGGTGAAGGCATACGTGTGATGACCGGCAGCGTTGCGTCCCCGACGATCGGATGCAAGAAGTCGAAGAGAGTTCTGGCACGACTGCGATGTCGGCGGTGTTGCTACGCTGGTGGCTCCGGGGGGCTAGTGCTTGCAGGTGACCTCGGGCAGGTTGAGCTAACTCGAGGCGAAGCCCCGATGTCTACGTTGCAGACGTTAATATCGCGTCACAACTAGACGAACGGCTAAGTTTAGGTGGCCAGCCGATACAGAGCCACACTAAAAACTTCTAGAAGAGATACTTGTTGATCTGTTTCTACACCATGTTGGTCAGTGACTAGTCTGCCTAGCAGGGCAAAATCCTGCGCTTAAATCCCCCTCGTGTCTTCTCGCTCTCTTCCTTGGGAACAAGAGACCTACCTCTACATGGGTCCAATCATGCGCGTTATATTGATGGAAACTCCGCCCCAAAAAATATTTTGACCCCACCCCTTTTTAATTAGGAGAGGGCCCTCAACTAGCGAGAGTGACAACCTGTTGGGGTGTTGTCATACGACTTGGCTGCCAGAGGTTTTCCCACGGTTTCCCCCGTAGGAACGGTCAGATTGTTTGGCTCTCAGCCGGTGTGTCCCGTAGTCTAATCCTTGTTCGGGGTACATCGCGGCCTTCCACGACCCTGCAGACGCCGCCCCAGTTACAAAAGGGTCAAACGTCGGCTGGCAGCGTTCGAAGAAGAGCACCCCATTCTGCACTTCTCGGCTCTCCTTCATGTGCCCGCCGTTCCCACGGTCAGTGGGGAAGTACGGCGCCCGTTAATTGCCGTGACGCGGGGTCGCCAAAATTGGCCATCCGTGACATTGCCCCCCGCTTTCAGAATGTTATTCATACATTTGCTCACACGGAGGGGAATTTTTCGACAACAAGGAACAAAACACCACCAACAAGGGAGACATGAGGACTGTCCCTCTCATACACAACATAAATAGGCAGAGTGCATCAAAGTAACAACAAAAGGGAAAAAACAATTGTTAAAGTACCAGCTTCAGTTACACGCAACAATATCAATGCGTCATACAAACAAGAAAAAGAAATAGCCGTGTACAGCAGCCATCAATACAGAATACACTGCACGAATGTATGCTACGAAACAAAACGGAACAGGTGCGCTTCTCTACTGTAGTGAAATCCTTCAATGTGCAGTACAACATGTAAAAACAATTAATGCACCAAGCAAAAAGAAAATAACTCAAAATACACTTCTTGTACAATGAAATATGCACATACAAACAGAAAACAAACGACGAAAGAAAAAAAATAACATGCTCATAGACCTCAAGAACTATATCCGGCTCAAGTAATCGGCTCCCACGTTTTCGCTACCCTTAATATGCGTAATGAAGAACTGGTACTCTTGGAGTAGTAAACTCCATCGAAGTACTCAAGCGTTCAGCTGTTTTGCCTGTTGGATATAACTCAGAGGCTGGTGGTCTATCTGGACACAAAAATGTACTCCATATAAGTACATGAATTTCTGAATTCCCCATACCAACGCGAGACATTCGCGTTCGATGGTACTATAGGAAGCCTCCCGGGGAAGCAGCTTTCGGCTGGCATAAGCTGTGGGGTGGAGCTTGCCTTCGTGGGCCTGCATGAGCACGGCTCCGAGACTTGTGTCCGATGCGTCCGTTCGAAGTACGAATGGTTGGTGCAAATCTGGTAGCCGTAGTATCGGCTCCGTCGAGACATGTTGTTTGAGACTTCGAAAAGCCTCCTCGTGGGCTGCTGTCCATTTCACCGAGTTAGCTTCGCCCTTCCGAGTTAAATCTGTAAGGGGAGCACTGACTTCTGCGTAATTCGGGATAAATTCCCGATAGTACCCGGTCAAACCGAGGAAGGCGCGCACTTGTCGCTTGGTTGAAGGGCGTGGTGCAGCTTCGAGCTTGTCGAGTGTTTTCCCCAGTGGTTGCAATCTGCCCCTGCCTACTCGGTGTCCCAAGAAGTCGATTTCTTCCACACCAAGTTCGCATTTACTGGGGCGCACTGTAAGCCCGGCCCTCTGTATGCGCTCAAAAAGCAGTCCCAGAGACCTCAGGTGTTCTTCCCATGTCTCAGTGGCTACCAGTACATCATCGTAGTAATGGTCCACATCAGGTATACCTTCCGCAACCTTCCCCATCAACTTAGCAAATACAGCAGGCGCTGTCTTGATGCCGAATGGCATGAAGCGGAACTGATATAGTCCCGATGTCGTCGAGAAGGCCGTCTTCGCTTTGCACTCTTCGGTCAGCGGGATCTGCCAATAGCCCTTCATGAAGTCGAGCTTCGAGAGATACTTCCTCTTTCGCACTGTAGCAAACACCGCGTCAGTTCTTGTCATAGGTTCGGAGTCGGCCACCAGAACGTTGTTCAGGCATCGAAATTCGATACACAGTCGATTTGTACCGTCGGGTTTCTTTACCAAAATGACTGGCGAATTATAAGGTGACTGATTTCTCAATGATGCAGAGCTTCTCCATCTCCCGCACCGCCGTGCTCACTGCTGAATCGGCTCACACTGCTACTCTCACTGAGACGAATCTTTGAATGCAGTAACTGCACTTCCTGTTCTCCGGCTTCCCTAGCCGCTTCTCTTGCCGCTTCTCGTTCTTTCTCCCTTTCTTCGCATTCCCTCTCCTTTTCTTCGCGTTCTTTCTGCCTTTATTTTTCCTTTTCCTCCCAGGCCAGTGCCCGCTCTTCTCTGGCTAACGCCTGCGCCTATTCCTGCTGCTCCTTAACCCATCGTCTCAGTTTGGCGCCCTCGAGGCCTAACTGTTTACCGTGCGTGATCCACGTATCGAAATCCATACACTCCATACTGCAAACTGTCACTGTAATGCCACTATAAAACCAGTGCAATCATATGCCGGATGCAACCGCTTCAACTGTGCGGCTCTATCACCACGCTGTCCGCACGGTTCTCGTTCACCCCTCACTGTCTTACTCTTGTACGGAACGTGCTGTCGCAGACGCCAGTTTTGTTACAAGCTGCCACTCTAGCGTCGCCAGCGCAAAGTCGGTGACGGGAATGACAGCAGGTTAGTTCGTTCCGTACGCAAGCAGAGACGGTGAAGAGATCAGAGACGTGAGAAAACAAAACAAACTTTACTCTAGCGATATTGCAGCACACGGGATCTAATACAACACTTCCATACAACTAACAAAATACATCAACATTTGATACAACTAAAAAATATGTATAAAAAACAATAAATCAGCTTACGCGAGAGAACTATTACAAACTACACAAACTAACAACAATAGACTACGGAGGAGAAAGTTCGAAGATATAAACAGGTGAAGGCATACGTGTGATGACCGGCAGCGTTGCGTCCCCGACGATCGGATGCGAGAAGTCGAAGAGAGTTCTGGCACGACTGCGATGTCGGCGGTGATGCTACGCTGGTGGCTCCGGGAGGCTAGTGCTTGCAGGTGACCTCGGGCAGGTTGAGCTAACTCGAGGCGAAGCCCCGATGTCTACGTTGCAGACGTTAATATCGCGTCACAACTAGACGAACGGCTAAGTTTAGGTGGCCAGCCGATACAGAGCCACACTAAAAACTTCTAGAAGAGATGCTTGTTGATCTGTTTCTACACCATCTTGGTCAGCGACTAGTCTGCCTAGCAGGGCAAAATCCTGCGCTTAAATCCCCCTCGTGTCTCCTCGCTCTCTTCCTTGGGGGCAAGAGACCTCTACCTGGGTCCAATCATGCGCGTTTAATTGAGGGGAAACTCCGCCCCAAAAATATTTTGACCCCACCCCTTTTTTTAATTGGAAGAGGGGCCGCAACTAGCGAGAGTGACAACCTGTCGGGTTGTCATACGGCTTGGCCACCAGAGTGTTTCCCACGCTTTTCCCCGCGGGAACGGTCAACCATTTAGCTCTCAGCCGGGGCGTCTCGTAGTCTAATCCTTGTTCGAAATACATCGCGGCCTTCCACGACCCTGCAGACGCCGCCGCAGTTACAAAAGGGTCAAACGTCGGCGGCGGCGTTCGAAGAAAAGCACCCCATTCTGCACTTCTCGGCTCTCTTTCATGCGCCCGCTGTTCCCACGGTCACTGGGGAAGTACGGCACCCGTTAATTGCCGTGACGCGGGGTCACCAAAATTGGCCGTCCGTGACACTGTCCCATCGTGAGAGTGACCCGCCGTGCGCTAGGGCGCATGCCTTCGGACTTTCAAAATAAAGTTTTCCCAAACCAAACAATATTCCTTGCAAGTGTGTAGTGGGTGCCACATTTCTCCATAAAATGACAAAGGATGGCTTATTGAATGCCTGCCTACTACACAAAAGCTGTGATGATTTATGGTGTAGTGGGTACCCTGCAAGTCTGCTTGTAGCACCTACCAAAAGAGTTTTTAAAAAAAGGTTTTATGAAGGCCACTCTTCTAGCTTTCACTATGACAGTGCTGTGCGTTCTACGCTGGCCTGGCATTTTTTTTCTTACTTGTTGTTGCAGAAGCATAAAAAGGAATTTTCGCATATCTCATCGCCTTAATAGTTTATGGCTGTTATTGCTTTTCTAGATTGTTTTTTCCATTATGGTACACAGCCAAAATTCGGTGTGTTCCACATTTGGCACAGTATGCATTTAAGCAAGGAAATATGATGCCATTTACGCTGTGCTACACAGTACAAATATGAGCAAAGCACTGCCTCTGAGATTACGCAGCACAGCTCTGTTGCATAGGATTTGTGTTGTGGTGGTAGGTTTTATGATGCTTTACAACTTCAAGAAAATGTGATCTCCTCTTTTGCAAGGTTCATTGATATTGTGATAGCACCAGTTATAGTTTAAGCATGGATAGGAAATGCTGGGTCATGGTGCACATCCCATTCCTGACTCTTCTTCTTTCTTGTTGCAGTACATCCACTCGGCTGGAATCATCCACAGGGTAAGTGTTTGAAATTTGGGGTGTTTGCACATGGCAGGGTGTGAGCACTTGAGGTGGCTGTGGTATTGATTTTTGCTTGACCGTTTTAGTCCTCACTGCACAGGGTTGGATTTTCCTTAAAGGACCCCTGGCAGCGAGCTTTGGTTGCAAATGATTTTACAGTAAATTTTAGGTAGGTTTGTCTCTGGTAATCTTAAAATTGAATTGCAAACGCTCTAAGGTAGCATGTAATTCGTAGAGAATTTCAGTTAAGTGTATGCAAGACTGTACATCTGCTATGTGTTGCATGCTGGGTACACTACGTGTGAGGCTACCTCCTACAGCGTTAGTTTACTGTGTGCAACATCTGAAACATGTACCTGAGCGTTAACAGGCTTGCCTTCGAGTGTTGCTTCGCATCATCTAGTGGCAACGCAGTAAGCTGTAATAATCGATATTAGTTGATGTAACACACAAGCCGAGCGTTTTCGATGACCAGTAGTGCTTTGGGTATTGCTTCCAGTTGAACTAGCAGCACGATGGACACAGAGATGACAGATGACAAGGACCAGCACTTATTGCCAAATTAACACTTATTGTTTGGTATGGGCATTTATAACATAAAGAGAAAATAAAGTCAACTGAACAGCGATTGCTAAACGGGAAGAACAAAAATACTCCCTTGGTGCTAGCATCTTCATGTGGCATTCCTTACGCGCCATGAAAGCCGCTCACAATGATGAGGGGGCCTTTGGGGTTATCCACATGTGATAAAAATTACCTGAGCTCGGAACACGTACGTGAATACACGTGTGATAAAATGCATCCCTAGAATTATACCGTTACTTTATAACACTTGGAATGCTCTTGCAGACAGTCATTCAGACATATGTCACAATGATGAGGGGGCTGTGGGGGCTATCCACATGCGAGAAAATTTACCTGAGCTTGGAACACGTACGTGAATACACGTGTGATAAAATGCATCACTAGAATTATACCGTTACTTTATAACACTTGGAATGCTCTTGCAGACAGTCATGCAGACATGTGCCAGTTAGACACATGTAGCAGCCACTGCAGTTCTTAGTGATCACATACACGACAATCTTTACACAATCTACAAGGGGGCCGGGTAGATAGCCTGCGCATGTGCGGAGGCAGGCGCCATGCTTTTTGTTGACCAAAAGGTGACGACACGTGTGGACCAAGCGACATCTGGTGCAACAAACATGCAAATCTTCCCCTTAAAGAGAGTCGTAAATGTCTGCCGGCCTGCGGAGGACCAAGGTCGCCAGTTTTGATTTTGACGATCTCCACTTGGGGTGCTGTATGGACTAGGAAAAGGCCCATTGTCATGGATCTCGGGAAGGGCTGCTATTGCTGATGGATTGAGAGGATACTGGGTGGCACAGAAAACTTGGTTTAATAACAAATAGGAAAGAACTAACAAAAAACAGAACACTAAATAACTAAACAACAGTGGAAAAAAATTCGCAGATTCCACGTCGTTTGGGAATCGATGCTATGCGGATGGAACGTGACCGTGTTGTAAATGTTTGATGAAGCAGCACGTTAAGAAATGACACTAAATATACGTACAAATGTTGCAGGTACAGACATATGTTGAACAGTTGCAGATACTTACAGAACCAGTTGTTTGCGCTTGCACAATGAGGCCAACAGGAACATGAGTATAAGCAACACCGGAAGCGATAACCTAATATGAAGCGCCGGTACTCACGAGGATGGCATCCCTGGACACTGCTACATAAATAAACTTCTGTATATGCCACCTAACTGCAAGTGACATTAGCCTGACGTGACAGCTGTATAATAGGAGTACTTATGTAATGTTTATAAAATTTGACAGGTTAGCACTGCAGCCGGAATTAACTTTTATGAACATTTGGGTCTATTCAAAAAGTAGTTTCGAGACCTGGCATAGCTCTGTGGTAGAATACTAGATTGCCACACAGAATGCTGGGATTTGATTCTTTCTGGGGACCATGATATTTATTCAATGCGTTCGTTGGTTCAACATTGCCGAGGTTAGCTTTTTCTGAGTGCTCACGCGTTAAAATCATCAATGTGTGTTCTCGCTGTTACTGGGTAGATACTAAGTCTCAATCACATGTGGCCCATACCGCTCGCAGGTATTTGGCACTCTCTGGTGGAAAGTGTTTGGCGACGTAAGCGACAAGATTGTGACATTATTTATGTCTTGACCAGCACGTCATATTTTTCAAACTATCTCACCCTCCCATACTAATTTTGGTTCACGCCAAGAAGATGATCATGAGAGCACCCAGTCGTAAGTGGCTAGATAAACAGGCAGGCAGGCAGGCAGGTTGGCGGGCGGGCAGGCGGGCGAGCGGGCAAGCGGGCGGGCGGGCGGGCGGGCATGCGGGCGGGCGGGCAAGCGGGCGGGCGGGCAAGCGGGCGGGCAAGCGGGCGGGCGGGCGGGCGGGACGGACGGACGGACAAACGGACGGACGGACGGACGGACGGACCGACAGACGGATGGAAGCCAAAGGTGCTTGTACAAAAAGAAATGCTTTGCACTTAAAAACAAAGAAACACTGCCACCGGAATCTCCAAAAGTAAGCTAACGCATATAATCAGTTCTAACTACATATGACTTCGTTTGCTAAATTCAGTCTGGCTAGCCACTTAAGGCTGACGGTCGGATCGCAGCCCAAATAAAACACCCTTATGGTTCCGTTCATCGCCATAGCTCCAACCTGCTTTGTGTTGGGTCCGCGGTCGATGTTGCCGACGATCCTCTTCAATCATCACTTCGAAGTGTAATGGCCTGTCAAGCCATCATAAGCTTTTTCCCAGGTGCCGTCGGTGACATAGCATGGCATCTTCATTCGTTAGGCCTATTACAGTTGACCTGTGAACAAAGTGGTGACATCTCGGGGATTGCTGCTGGGCAACATTCGAAGGGGGACTGCAGTGGGTGTATCCAGAAGAGCAAAATATGCTTCATCACCTTTGAGGAGCCTTGCCTGAGTGTTGTCGAAGTCAACGGCTACACTACGGAGTTCTACCGTTGCGAATTCCAGAACCAAACGGCCACTTGTGCCCGTTGATAGAGCGTAGCTGCTGATGCAACTTTCTTCTCCCGTAGCCATGCAGAAAGTGCCAGCTCATCGAACTGCCACCTTTGTTTACGGCTCCAAATGAAGAGCAGTGCTGTAATTCACACGAACTTAACTCGCTGTTTTCATGTCACGACTACTGTATTGCGAGCGGTCCTGGCAGTCTTGTCTGTTTTGGTCCTGGCAGGATGGGATCTTGCGAGAGAGCCACCAGTAAAGTACGTAGTGACTGTACTGGACGTAACGTAAGTGCTGAGATGTAGCGCGCGCCTCACCTGCGTGCGCAAACACATGCATCTTTTTTGGGTTCAGTGCATGTGCAGTCTTGCTTCCTGGCTGTTGAATCCAGAAGGCCATTGCGCATTAAACTAAAATTCTCTAATGCTATTGTTATTTCATAATTATTTTGCATCAGTTTGAAATGCCCACTTAAATACCATAAAAAATTAGTGCCCTAAAGAGCAGTAGTGGTGCCATAGCTACATGCGCTTAAACTTCGGTGGCACTACATGTGCCATTTTCAAGTCGTGGAGCTGCAGTTGGTGAAGAAACGATGTGCGTGCTTTTAGTGTGTCCCCCTCAGCATTCCTGGCGTAAGCAGCCAAAACCACCTTGAGAGCAGGCTAACAACAGAGCGAGAAGGGTGACGAACAATAGTTCTTGACAGGCGCCAGTGGGGGTATTGGGCACGTTCCAGAAATGTTCTCTGATGTCAACAATACTCGCCTTACTTTCCATTACCCTACCGACAACATATACCATTACACCCCGCAATGTTTGTCGGTAGGGAACCACTTTTCACCCATAAATCATTGCTAGCTTTTTTAAGAGATGTCTGTTTTTACCATGTATTATACCCAAGCATTGCGTAGCGTGACCTCTCAAGAGAGGTTGCTGCTGCAGTGACTACATTTAAAAGCACTTGCCTCGCAGCCCTTGGACACAAGGGCGCTGAAGAGGCACTTGTGCTAGTGCCAAATATTTTTACATGTTTTTATTATCAAAACCTTTGTCACCCTTTTTACTATGCATATCACGCCACTGTCATGATCTTAATACTTATGTTTTTACCCGCATTATCGCGAGGAATTTTAAGCCCCCTATACAGCCACCCAACATATCATTGTCCGCATCTCTACACGTAGAAATGGCGCTCTTTGGCCATCAATTGGCCCTTGCGCCACAAAGCGCCACACATCATCATCAACAATACTTGTCTTACTTGTAGAGCATCATGTGGGACCTCTGCGTTGATCGAACGAGAGATGATGTTGATTTGTGGTGATAGCTTAGATGAGTACTCACTCTTTCTTTAAAAATAAATGAAAATATCTTACAGGCAATGCTCATCCCTAATAATGAGTCAGAAGTGCCCCCCCCCCCCCCCCCTCCCGCATGTAGGACTCTCAAACAACACAAGCATCTCGAGTTTCCAAATTTGGTGTCGGGGATCTTTTAAGGGCAGATGAAATTCGAAAAAAGAAGTTTTTTTTATTCACTAGTCTAGGGAAATGAAGTTTTTGCTGTATGCATAGGCTTTCACGCTCACATTAAATACCTGATAAGTTTTATAGTGAGTTGCATAGTTTTTGTGTTGTATCATGGCGATGTGTAAAATATAGCTCTTTTCAGACACACTGAACTTGCCAATGGCAGGATTCTAATCTGCGACCTTCAAATTTCATGTACCACACTTGCCACAATGGCAACAGGTGGCACTGACGCTTCCACAGTTAAAATGCACATATACACCCTATAAAGGGGTATTAAGGGGATAGGAGATGACCACCACCGAGCGTCTATGCAATATTCGAAAGTCAAAGGCCCGGATCTTGCCTGTGGCAAGTTATCTTTTTGTTCACTTTTGTTTCTTCCCATTTACAGTGATCCCACTATTGGGCTAACTGCACCAAA